AAATTAGTTTTTTTGGAAATTTTTGAGTATAGCACACAATTAGTGCATTTAATTAAGAATTAACACGTTGTGGATTGACCACAAGATGTCACAAATTATTTTGTAAAATTAAAAATGGCGTAAGTGATGACCAGTGGGAAATTCATTTTTTGGGAAATTTCGGAATTAGTGTGTCTACCGAACCGAGAATTAATACGCTGAGAATTGATCACAAGATGTCACAAATTATTTTGTAAAATTAAAAATGGCGTAAGTGATGACCAGTGGGAAATTCATTTTTTGGGAAATTTCTGAATTAGTGTGTCTACCGAACTGAGAATTAACACGTTCAGAGTTGATCACGAGATGTCACAAATTATTTTTGTAAAATTAAAAATGGCGCAAGTGATGACCAGTGGGAAATTCATTTTTTGGGAAATTTCTGAATTAGTGTGTCTACCGAACTGAGAATTAACACGTTCAGAGTTGATCACGAGATGTCACAAATTATTTTTGTAAAATTAAAAATAGTATAAGTGACGGTGAATGGGAAATTAATTGTTTGGAAAATTTCTGAATACAGTAAAATTATTGTGTCTAATTAAGAATTAACACGTTCGATTCCTCTAATTATTTTTGTAAAATGAAAAATAGTGTAAGTGATGATGAATGGGAAATTTATTTATTGGGAAATTTTTGAATACAGTACATTTGGGAAAAAATGTCTCATGCTTAATACGTTATGAGAACTTTTATCTAATTAGAGTGAGCCTAGCATTGTTTTGTGGGAAACCTCAGCGCAACACAGTGCGATTATGTCAACCTGGCGTGTCGAGTTACGCGATACTTTTGTTTCCTGTCTTTTCTTTCTATAGTACACTTCGCTGCTTTTGTTTACGTTTATGGTACATTAACTCTTTCACCAATAATTTTTTTATTAAAATATTTATATACATTTTACACATTGTATGCATTTGCTAATCCTCAGTCTTGTAAATTAAAACTAAATTCAAAGTGAAAACTAATTTTCATTCCTTAACTATTATAAAATCTGTCCCATGAGTCTGACTCATTACGAGGTAAGGTATTAAAATTGTAGAGTGAAACTTGCATACATATTTCATTCACAAGGAAAATAAGAGGGTATCTAATTAGACATGATACATTTCCCCTTTTAGTTATGACTCGGTACAATTTTTCATCTCAACGAATGCATCAAGCAGAATGCAGAAACTTGTCTGAACATAAAATAGAGCCTCTAATCTTTTTAGCTGTCAAAGAAGAAACTGTCAATTCTAACAGACCCAAAAATGCAAAAATTTCTCACAAGATCAAGTAGACTCTCTAATCTTTTTAATTGTAAAAAAAAATACTGCCAGTTCTAACCCAACCAAGAATGCAAAAATTTCTTACAACATCAAGTGGAGCCCTTAATCTTTTTAGCTGTCAAAGAAGAAACTGTCAATTCTAAAGAACCAAATATGCAAAAACTTGTCACCAGCTCAAGTAGACTCTCTAATCTTTTTATTTATCATTGAAGACACTGACAAATCCAATTGAGCCAAAAATGCAGAAATTTATCTCAACATCAAATAGAGCATCTTATCTTTTTAATTGTCAAAGAAGAAACTGTCAATTCTAACAGAACCAAAACTGCAAAAACTTGTCACAAGCTCAAGTAGACCCTCTAATTTTTTATCATTGAAGACACTGTCAAATCCAATTGAGCCAAAAATGCAGAAATTTATCTCAACATCAAATAGAGCATCTAATCTTTTTAATTGCCAAAGAATAAATTGTCGTTTTTAACAGAACCAAAAATGCAAAAATTTCTCACAACATCAAATAGACCATCTAAAATCTTTTTAATTGTCAAAGAATAAACTGTCAATTTTAACTGATTAAAGAATGCAAAAGCTTCTCACAAAATCAAGTAGACCACCCAATCTTTTTACTTGTCATTGAAGACACTGTCAATTCTAACTGAGTCAAAAATGCAAAAATTTTTCACAATATTAAACAAACCCTCTAAAATATTTTTAATTGTCAAAGAATAATCTGTCAATTCTAACACAGCCAAAACTGCAAAAATTTCTCGCAATGTCAAGCAGCTCTAATTCAACGCTCGTAGCCTCGCAAAGATCGTTCGCACGAATCGAATTTCTCGTACTCATCTACGACAGCGTCTCTTACCTTACGCGCACACCTGCGGAATTTCAGATGAGGGAGTACGAAATTCCGCACGGTGGCACCTACACGCGTGGTATTTCGCAACCGAAATTCCTCAAGGGGGGCCGCCGCTTTGTAACCGCTTCAGGTCGGAAGAGGAGCGAAACGAAAACGACAAGAGGCGTGTGTTATCGACGCTGCCTCCGTGAGAGTCTCGCCGTCGCGTTCAGGGGTCAGAGTAGAAAGTGGTGTCCGCGTGTGTTGTACACTGGGCCCCCGATGAAGGTCGGATCCGGGATGTTTGAACCTGATCTATACCAGTTTTCTTTCATTCATGACGATCGCGTTTCGCGCTTGGTCACGCGAGGAGAGAGTCCCGAACGATAGATTTCTGACCACTTCCTGCGGAAATTACGACCAACAAACGAACGGGAGACCAGGCTATTCACTTACCAGTGAACTGCACTTTGCATTCGATAGGACGATCGACGAGCGTACTTCTTCGGACGTTAGATATACGTACAGGACTGTGAAACGAGTAGAGTAGGTCTACGAGCTCGCCACTATTCGTTACTCCATTTCCGTCCGTTTATCTGCGGTGTGTTTAGTGCTGTTAGCTCTCATCAAGCGTTTCACGGCTCTACCGGTGGCCATTGTTAATTCAACCGGCTTGGTTAATTGCTACGCACGGCTTCGTAACACTACCCTGCGGAGAAAATTGCGGTAATACGACCGGTTTGTGGAGGAATTTATGATTCTGTACTTGTAGATCGTGCTCTTTTACAGCTATGCAATCATCACGTTAGAGAGCTTAAGCAATCTTTGGTATCTTTTAGTTTGCTTTCTGTGGATCGTCTGGTGACACCTGTGAGAATCTTTCGTATCTGGGTCACGTCACCTGTAAATCTCAATCTTTTGACATTTCTAGATCTATTGAGAGATAATACACTGCTTGTCAAAAGTTTGAGACCACTGTGCACTGCAATTTATGTAAGAATTTTATAAATACTGAAGCGAGGTGTAGATTACAAATTTAAATAAAGATCACAAAGTTTTTGGCAGAGTAGATTAATTAAATGGCAAATTTGGGCAATTCCAAGCCCTTCAAACTGCTCCTTCCTCTATATTTAGGTCATTCTAACCTCAAAATCTCCCCTAATTTCCCAGTAAATCCGATTCAGAGCTGTGAAACAAAGATCCCAAACTTTTTGACGAAAAAGATCAACAAATGGCAAATTTAGGCAATTCCAAACCCTTCAATTGGACTTCGTCCTCTATATTTAAGTCATCCTAACCTCAAAATCTACCTTAATTCCTAATAAATCCAAATCAGAGCAGTGAAACGAAGATCCAAAACTTTTTGCTAGAGTAGATCAAGCAAGTTGCAAATTTAGGCAATTCCAAACCTTAAAATAACTCCTTCCTCTATATTTAGGTCATTCTAACCTCAAAATCTCCCCTAATTTCCCAGTAAATCCGATTCAGAGCTGTGAAACAAAGATCCCAAACTTTTTGACGAAAAAGATCAACAAATGGCAAATTTAGGCAATTCCAAACCCTTCAATTGGACTTCGTCCTCTATATTTAAGTCATCCTAACCTCAAAATCTACCTTAATTCCTAATAAATCCAAATCAGAGCAGTGAAACGAAGATCCAAAACTTTTTGCTAGAGTAGATCAAGCAAGTTGCAAATTTAGGCAATTCCAAGCCTTAAAACGACTCCTTCCTCTATATTTAGGTCATCCTAACCTCAAAATCTCCCTTAATTTCCTAATAAACCCGATTCAGAGCTGTGAAGCGAAGGCCCCAAACTTTTTGACGAAGAAGATCAACAAATGGCAAATTTAGGCAATTCCAAACCCTTCAATTGGACTTCGTCCTCTATATTTAAGTCATCCTAACCCCAAAATCTCCCTTAATTTCCTAATAAATCCAAATCAGAGCAGTGAAACGAAAATCCAAAACTTTTTGCTAGAGTAGATCAAGCAAGTTGCAAATTTAGGCAATTCCAAGCCTTAAAACGACTCCTCCCTCTATATTTAGTTCATCCTAACCTCAAAATCTCCCCTAAATTCCCACTGAACCCGATTCAGAGCAGTGACTCAAAAATCCCAAAATTTTTGCTAGAGTAGATCAACAGATAACAAAATTCAGTCAATTCCAAGCCCTTCAAGTGTACCATTAAATCGTACCAATATCTTCCTCCATATTTAGGTCACCCTAACCTAAAAATCTCCCCGAATTTCCCGACAAATCCTATATTCATAGCTGTGAAACGCCGCACGTTCAGCTCGAGCACGAAACCAAGAGGGCCGAGAAAC